GAGATAAATCAGCTCAATTCTGTGTTCCCAGAATTTTTCTTAAAATCTCCCAAAAGAAACAGAAAAATAAAGCCCTAACCCCCTAAAATTACGGTATATAAGAAATGCTACGCCGGGCACAATGGCTCACACCTGCAATCCTAGCACTTTGGGAGGCTGAGGCAGGCAGATCACTTGAGGTCAGGAGTTTGAGACCAGCCTGGCCAAAATAGTGAAACTCTGTGTCTATTAAAATACAAAAAAATTAGCTGGGTATGGGGGTGGGCACCTGTAATCCCAACTACTCAGGAGACTGAGGTAGGAGAATCGCTTGAACCCAGGAGGCGGAGGTTGCAGTGAGCTGAGTTTATCCCACTGCACTCTAGCCTGGGCAACAGAGTGAGACTCTGCCTGAAGAAAAAGAAAAGAAAAAAGAAATACTACTTTACAATCAGTTTTTTTAAACTTAATATACCACAAATATTATTCTACTGTAATAAAGAGCAAATCATCATTTTTAGTGTCTAATAGTTCACTGAATCATCTCTTTTGGGCTATGCTGCTCTTCTTCTTATATAAATCCTAAACACTATTGTAACTTAACCGATCACACTGTTACCCAATTTTCCTATTGTAAACATGCTGTAATAAACAATTTACATATGTGTTTAATTGGAGGGCATGATATACACGTTTTAGACTTTGATATGCATTGCCAACCTGCGCTCTAGAGAAAGGGTGCCAATTTGCATTCCCACCAACTGTATTAAACTGCTTGTAGTCCTATATACCCTTACCTATCTAGGTTTGGGTGTGAAAAAAAACCCTCCTTTTACTCCCCTTAATAGTGAAAGGCTTTAGGATCAACTATAAAAGGAAGCTATTTAGCTCAAGTTAAGAAAAAAGTATTTGAGGAAAACAAAACAAACAATAATAAAACGGTGAGGGGGGGAAAATGCCAGGATCCAAATACGTGGAAATTCCCCTTCAACTGGGAGCTGGGTTTTTCATCACCCTGCTCACTCTTCCTTCTCATCTGTTTGTTTCGTTGTATTTGTTATGTTTGACTTTTTAGTCATCATCTTTGGTAAGAAGGGGAAGGAGGGAGCGAATGATACAGGAAATGCTCCAATAAAGCATCTATGTATTTGACAACTGAGAACCAGCTCCCACCACCACACCAAGCTCGACTGAGTACAGTTTTGAAAAAAATGGAAAACAACACTTTTCAACTGTCTTAGCTCCAAAATGACAACTAAACTGTTTGCTCTGACTTCTGTGGCCAGTGGCCAATTTTCATAAAAACCAGTATCCACAATGATTCAATATAATCAAAACCTCAGACTGCTTTACCCTAACATACCAAACGTGACAAAAGATAAAAAATTACCCATCACAGGAGTTTACCTAACACAGTATTCGAAACCAAAGGCTTAGGCAGCTTTAGATGTACTTTACATCTGAGATAGAATAGATTCTTTACATCAACCAGAAAAAAAAATAATTCCCTTTATGTTTTCTTTACTTGAACTAGTCAGAATGCCTCCAGAAACAGAATAATAGAAACTGTAAAAAAGACAGTAACGAAAAGTTTAGATCAGGGGGTGCCCAATCTTTTGGCTTCCCGGGGCCATGTTGGAGGAAAAATTATTCCTGGACCACACAAAATACTCGAACATTAATGATGGCCAATGAGCTAAAGAAAAAAAATCACCAAAAAAATCTCAAAATGTTTTAAGAAAGTTACGAATTTATGTTGGGCCACATTCAAAGCCATCCTGGGCCACATGCGTCCTGCAGGATGTGGGTTGGACAAGCTTGGTTTAGACAATGCTTTCCTCTCTGAACAATGGTTTAGAGATCCTTCTGGTGTCCAAAGAAAGGGCTATGAATTCAACAAGCAAAAGATCACTATTTAGCTTTATATTTATAAAATGCAGCATTACTTCAGACCAAGTTGCTGGTCCAGATGGAATAAAAAAGAAAAGTGCCATCCCTGTGCAGCAGCATCAGTGTCCACACTGAGTAAAAACCTGCCCAGGGGACTTGCAATCCTCTTCCCCACCACTACACTTAACTCATTTTTGCTCTAACCCTGCGGTCATTTACTGAGCAGATACTATTATTTACATGACATGCTATTTCAGAGGCTGAGCGGCTATAATGAACAGAAGTAAAGGATAGAAACTAAATTCCTCAAATTCTAGCAGGGGAGACAGAACACAAATAAGTATAAAAGTTAATAAATGAGATAATTCCAGGTAGTAACAAGTGTTACACAGACAAGAAGACAGAGGATGTATTAGCGGCTTGGTGGGGAGAAGAAAGCTTCATTTAGGTGGGATAATCAAGAAAGGCTTGTCTCAGGAGGTGATATTTGAGCTGGACTTTGAATAAGAGAGAGTCCATCATGCAGTCATCTGGGAGAACAATATTCAGGCAATGGGAATAGCAAAAGCCAAAGAATGGATGCAGGATATTTGAGGAAAAGAGGGCTAGAGTGGCTGGAGTCCAGTGACTGAGGGCAAGAACAAGATGAGGCAGGAAGAGGCCAGATTACCATAGGACCTTCAAGGCCACAGCAGAGTCTAAATTTGTTTCTAGAAATAGCTGAAAACTATTAAAGAGTTTAAACTAGGAAGTGATATGGCTTGAATTATATAAATAAATAAATTTATTCATCTATTTCATTCACTCATTTATTTGAGACAGGATCTCGCTCTGCCTCCTAGGCTGGAGTGCAGTGGCACAATCTCGGCTCACTGCAACCTCAACCTCCCAGACTCAAGCAATCCTACCACCTCAGCCTTCCAAGTATTTGGGACTACAGGCATGTGCCACCATGCCTGGTTTATTTTCGTATTTTTTGTAGAGACAAAAATCACCCTGCTGCCCTGGCTGATCTTGAACTCCTGGACTCAAGGGCTCCTCCTTCTTGATTATAGATGTGAGCTACAATGCCCAGCATGATTTAAATTTTTAAAAAAAACTACTATGATGGCAACGTGGAGAACGGACTATAGCAGACCACAGTGGCAATAGGGAGACCAATGGCTAGTGAGACAGACTATATGAGAGATGCTAAAGGGGCTTGGGCTTGGGTGCTGATGGGAACTGAGAAGAATGGCAAGAGTCAGGGTACATTTCAGAGGTGAGCTGACATGGCCTGCTGCTGAATTAGATGTGGAGGGAGAGGGCAAAACAGGGAAATCAGGATTACTTAATGCTGGGCCCTGAGCAACCAGATGGATAGTAGTCCCATTAACTGATATGGGGAACACTTGGAGAGGAAGGGATGTGAAGTGGAGAGCAGGAACAACCAAAGGTTCTGTTTGAGGTGTGTGGTGTACCCTTGATCACAGGTGTGAGCTGTATCTAACAGTGAGAGTAAGCTGGGTGTAAATAGCCTATCGATGATCAGGTGAGAAGAGGCAGAGAGGCCAGCAGAAGGGATGAGGGGAGCACCCAGTGAGGGATGAGATCACCCAGTGAGGACTAAGGATCTTCAGAAGAGGGTGAGGTGAAGAGACACAGAGAAGAAAATGCTTTAAGAAGTAATCAACTGTGTCAAATGCTGCTGAAGACTGAATAAGGTAAGGAAAAAAACCTAACAAGTGGATTTAGCAAGACAGAAGAACATTAATAAAGAAATCGGGTGGGCCAGGCATGGTGGCTGGTAATCCTAGCACTTTAGGGGGCCAAGGTGGGTGGATCACATGAGGTCAGGAGTTTTGAGACCACCCTGGCCAACATGGTGAAACTCCATCTCTACTAAAAATACAAAAATTACCCAGGTTGGTGGCCTGCACCTGTAATCCCGGCTACTTGGAGGCACAAGAATTGCTTGAACCTGGGAGGTAGAGGCAGCCTGGGCCACAGAGCGAGACCCCGTGTCAAAAACAAAAAACAAAAAAAGAAATAGGATGAGAAAATATGTTAAAAGGTGTTTGATTTTGATTAAGCTAAGCTAAAAATATATTAAAAAGATAATCTCATAAAAATTTCTGAGGTATGCTGATTTATCAGGCTAAGTGCATTTTCACTTCCTATTTTTTTTTTTTTTTTGAGATGGAGTTTCATTCTTGTTGCCAGGCTAGAGTGCAATAGCATGATCTCAGCTCACTGCAACCTCTGCCTCCCAGGTTCAAGCAATTCTCCTGCCTCAGCCTCCCAAGTAGCTGGGATTACAAGTGTCTGCCACAACGTCAGGCTAATTTTTTAATTTTTAGCAGAGACGTTTCACCACGTTGGCCAGATTGGTCTTGAACTCCTGACCTCGGGTGATCCACCTGCCTTGGCCTCCCAAAGTGCTGGGATTACAGGTGTGAGCCACTACACCCAGCCATTTTGACTTCCCTTCTTAAAGAAAGAGGAAATCAGGCTGGCACAGCGGCTCACGCCTATAATCCCAGCACCTTGGGAGGCCGAGGCAGGAGGATTGCTTGAGCTTAGTAGTTTTGAGACAGCATGGGCAACACAGTGAGACTCCATCTTTAGAAATCATAAAATTTTTAAAATTTAAATAAAAATTTTTAAAAGGAAGAGGAAATCAATGACTCAAAGACTGTTATTCTGAGTTTCACATTCTTATTTCCTGGGGAAGGGAGCTGTACTTAGTGATAACATGGTAGTATGCAGAATTGACATTGAAATAGGAGCAGAGCAGCCTGAAAGGCTAAAAGTTTACTTGCCCACTTTGACTGTGATTCATCAAACTCCTAATGTTCTTCTCAGACCAACCCCAAGCTAAAAGTTGTTTTTTTTTAAAATCCAACCCAAAGGCCCAAGTGAAAGGGCGAAAACAAAAGCTGCCAGAAGAAAGAGGAGACCACAGCCATGCTCTTGGTTGGGAGCACTCTGCTGGCACTGAGGTGTCTTTTCCAAGGCTGCTACTGTTTCAGCAGACTCCAATCTGCATCTCATCCCCTGGTCACATCAGACAAAACTAGAAAAGTGATCAGAGGCCCGCCCACACCTGTGCCACTTGTCTTTGTGTTTCCTCCTCATCTCCCGCCTCTTACCTGGGTCATTTTGTCCACAGAGACTGGAATTCCGTCGATGGTGAGAGGCGGCAGTTCTGAGTTAACCTCCTGTGGCGCAGGGGCGTGTTCTGCCAGAGCAGACTCCAGGTCTTCCAGGATCATGCTCTTGTACTTACGCACCTGCAGGGAATTAAGGGCAGAGGTAAACAAGATGCGCAACAACCAGGGAGGATTGGTGCCAAGCAACAAGAGAGTGGGTGGGGCTGGCCTTCCGAGCCATTGCATAGCCCTAAGAACAGACACTTCTATAAGCAAATACAAATACCCACTGGTCCCAAAGACATCACGCTGAACGGAATTAAATGAAAAGATGATGAAATTACAGGTAACAACAATAGAAGAGCCAGTGGAAAATGTTTCCAGAAATACTGCTTCTCAGTTAAAATCACGTTTTCTCAATGAAGGTGCCATTGCCTGTTCCGGGTCTATCAGGCATGGTATTCACGGTTCTGCATTTCCCGGCCATAGGATGCACAGCCAGCTGTGGCAGCTCATTACCAAAATCATTTTCAAGATCTTCAAGGACTTACAATTCTAAAACTGCAAGTAATCTATTCATTCAAAACTGCTGCTATGTTCCTGCAAAGCCAGACTACCAAATAGACAGGAGATTCAAGCATACAAGAGACTGGATTGAAAAGAATCAGAGAAAAAAAAATGATAAGTGTATTTTGTAGCTGAGTGCCACTACTGGTAAGACCTGGGCCAGAGGGAGCCTCATAGGTCAAATCTTCCTTCTGTTGGCCCTGGTGACAGAAATGAACCTCCAACACATGATGCCTTTATCTCTAGCCCAGGCTGGAACCAGATATTGCTGTTCGTTGTCTGCATTCCCATTACTGTCAGTGAAATGTCTCTCAAAAGACAGAAAACTTAATGGTAATACACGAGACATGCCCACATTCTTCTATCATGAACAGAAAGGGTGGACAGATGCTGGGTCCTCCAACCACCAATATAATGGGTTCATCTGAATGCCTGGAACTTGGAGGGGGAAAAATGGGTTCATTCACTTAGGAGGATACATAAGGGGGATGAGGAAACCCCTGGGAATAACAAAGAAGCCATGGAATTATGGAAATGTGACAAGTGGGATAGGAAATTAACTTGCTTTCTGGGCTCAAGGCATTACTTTAGAAAAGAAAAGGAAAGAGACAATGAGGTTTGTCTAGAAGTTCCAACAGTGTTTGAAACCTGGGTTATCTGTGAGTTGGCTGGACTCTACACATTTCCTTATAAATAAATATCTCATTATGTGGATGAAAAAAGAAAAATTCCCATGCTCTACCCCAAGCATCTGAAAAAATAAATATTATTGGCTACATAGTACAACTTCTGCAGTTGAAGAATCCTCCAAATAGGTCAATAAGGGGATGAGAGAAAAATAGCACAAACTTCTAGACTCATTATCTTTCCAGAGATTCAGTTTTATCCCAGTCTCTAATAAAAAGGAAAGTTTAAAAAATTATTGCCATTACATTTATTGCAACATAAGTAGCTGTTGTTGCCACAGCAATTTTACAGGATTATATTTTCTGCTGTTTCTGTATGCTAGACAGTGTTTAGGCTGCCTACTCACAGACACACACAAACAAATCTTAGGAGCCTGGTGATATGGTTTGGCTCTGTGTCCCCACCCAAATTTCATCTAGATTGAAATCCCTACATGTTGAGGGAGGGACCTGGTGGGAGGTGACCGGATCATGGGGGCAGTTTCTCCCATCCTGTTCTTGTGATAGTGAGTTCTCACAAGAGCTGATGTTTTAAAAGTGTTTGTCAGTTCCCCTGGCATCCCCTACCCTGTATCTGTGTCTGTCTCTCTCTCTCTCTCCTGCCACCATGTAAGACATGCCTTGCTTCCCCTTCTGTCATGATTGTTAAGTTTCCTGAGATCTCCCTAGCCATGCAGAACTATAAATCAATTAAACCTTTTTTATTTACAAATTATCCAGTCACAGGTAGTTCTTTATAGCAGTGTGAAAACGGACTAATACACCTAGGTTCTGGTCTTAGAACTTTAAGGTTTATAAGGTTAAATCCTTATGTTAGGTATAAGCCAATAGGAAGAATGATCATACTAGAAAAACAGGCTGTGTGGTGGCTCATGCCTGTAATTCCAGCACTTTGGGAGGCTGAGGCAGGCAGATGCCTTGAGCCCAGGAGTTTGAGATCAGCCTAGGCAACATAGTGAGACCCTGTCTCTGCTAAAAATACAAAAATTAGCTGGACATGGTGGCATGTGCCTGTGGTCCCAGCTACTCGGGAGGCTGATGTAGGAGGATGCCTTGAGTCCAGGAGGTGGAGGTTGCAGTTAGCCGAGATCATGTCACTGTAGTCCAGCCTGGGTTACAGAGCCAGACCTAGTCTCAAAAATAAATAAGTAAAAATTTAAAAATTAAAAATAAAAACAAATTTTATCAAGCTTTTAGAAACACCTGGCATTCAAAAGTGGAATCATTAGGTTATTACTTCTTTATTAGCCAGTTTCAAACAATTTCAAACAATTTTTATGAGTCAGCTTATCAGTGCTATATAATTCCTTTAAAATATCTTTTTTAGTTCTGATAAGGCATCCCTGAGTAATTTGCAACAAAACAACTTCAGGTATAACTGGAGCATTTCTATCTAAGCTTGCTTACTAAAGTTAAGTAACTTTCTCAGAATTACTGACCTAGTGTTTAAATTCTATCTGATTTATCAATTCTGAGATGCATTTTCCTTTAATATTTATCTGTCTTCTGAAGTTAAGATAAATCTTAAAATTGCTTTGGACAAGGCAATAACAGGGCATAGCGGTCACTGCCGGCAGCCATGTCAACATGTTTGCTATCCCTGGCCTCTTTAGTCAGCAAATCATTTAGCACCATTTGAGAAGAGAATGTGAGTCTTGGCTGTTGTCTGATAACCTTCCCAATGACAATTTCTGGTAAGATCAAGAAGCACCACCAGGCTCGGTGGCTCATACCTGTAATCCCAGCACTTTGGGAGGCCAAGGTGGGCAGAGATCAGAAGTTCGAGACCAGCCTGACCAATATGGCAAAACCCCGTCTCTACCAAGAATATAAAAATTAGCCGGGTGTGGTACTAGGGGCCTGTAATCCCAACTACTTGGGAGGCTGAGGCAGGAGAATCGCTTGAACCTGGGAGGCAGGGGTTGCAGTGAGCTGGGATCATGCTATTGCACTCCAGCCTGGGCAACAGAGCAAGACTCCATCTCAAAAAAAAAAGAAGCACCTGCATCAAACCTGTTGCAGCTTGCAGGGGGGAAATCGGAGACAATAACAGAGCACTTTTTAAAGAAACAGAGCACTGCCCATTTTCATGATGGCACAGAGAACAATATTACATGAAAAAACACAGACAATGATGACTGAAACAAGAAGTAATTCAAAAGGGTTGGACTCTGAATGTGAAGAAATTTCAAAAACACTTTATTTCACTTATATTTTCCTTTTTATACATATACAAAAATGATATATGATTAAATGCTATGTCAAAGTAAGCCTTGAAAGAGCTCTTTCAATAAGTAGAAAATAAAAATTCCAGTTGGGCATGGTGGCTCATGCCTGTAATCCTAGCACTTTGGGAGGCTGAGGGGAGCGGATCACGAGGTCAAGAGATTGAGACCATCCTGGCCAACATGGTAAAACCCCGTCTCTACTAAAAAGAGAGCTGGGTGTGGTGGCGTGTGCCTGTAGTCCCAGCTACTCGGGAGGCTGAGGCAGAATCGTGTGAACCCAGGAGGTGGAGGCTGCAGTGAGCCGAGATCGCGTTACTGCACTCCAGCCTGGCGACAGAGCAAGACTCCATCTCAGGAAGAAAAAAAAAGGAAAATAAAAATTCTAAGTGATACCATTGTGTCAATATTCATCAAGGTTTTTTCTTTCTTCATAGTACACAAATAACAGCATATCTTATAATCAATGGTGTTATAGATAAGATAATAAAATATGCGTTTATGTTCCAACTTATGCTTTCTATTCCAAAAACCGTAGCTTATGCCTTTGTCAGTTCACACCAATATGTCAACTAGTTGGTTTCACAACTATGGTAAACAACCACTTAAAATCAGTTGCCACTCTTTTCCCTTAATTCATTCTGTATACCATTGCCGTTTGAAATTTTGGAAACACTTATCATCAAACACCATTTACTGAGCACTTACTTTGTGCTAAGCACTACATACACTGTTCTCAAATACTACTTACCATAATTCTATAAGGAAAATATTATTATACGCATTTTGCAAATGAGAAAACTGAGGCTTAATAAACTTAAGTAACTTTCCCCAAATCATATTAGTAAGAAGTATAGCTAAAAAATCAAACAAATTTTTATCTAGCTCCAAAGCTGGTACGGTTAGCCACATCACTATCATTTACCTTTTCTTTTCAAGAAACTGCTATAGTTCCCCACTTCTTACAGGATGAAGCCCAAGCTTCTCTGGCCCACAATTCATTCTTTCCAATTACTTATTTTCCCAATACTCCTCTGCGAGAGCCGCCATATACAGTAGTGCTTGCCAACCCTGGAGACTATGTGAACGACACCTCTTGAGCTCCCAGCATACCACCTCCATGGAGTCCTATAACACTGAGCAGCTTTACTCACTTTCTTCCCTCTTTAGCTGCCCAACTCATCATTAACCTTGGCATCTAGCAAATTCTTTCCTTTGAAACGTCTAGAAACATACATACATTCATTCATTCATACATTCATTCATTCATTCATGAAGGAGTCCTGATCTGTTGCCCAGGATGGAGTGCAGTGGTGTGATCTTGGCTCACTGCCACCTTCATCTCCTGGGTTCAAGCAATTCTTCTGCCTCAGCCTCCAGAGTAGCTTGGATTACAGGCACCCACCACCATGCCCAGATAATTTTTCAATTTTTAGTAGAGATGGGGTTTCGCCGTGTTGGCCAGGGTGGTCTCAAACTCCTAACCTCAAGTGATCTGCCCACTTAGGTCTCCCAAAGTGCTGGGATTACAGAGGTGAGCCACCACATAAACCTGCTTCTTATCCAATACTTTCAATATTTTGCCAGGCGCGGTGGCTCATGCCTGTAATCCCAACACTGGGAGGCTGAGGCAGGCAGACTGCCTGAGGTCGGGAGTTTGAGA